TGTCTTCGTTTTAGTAGTGTTTAAACTTGTTTATATAGCGCAAATTGTTGTTGATAGATTATTCAAACCAGAAATATTACAAAATCTGTATCAAATATGTGGTACATCTGGCTGTTTCTTAGCACAAGGAGTATTATCACAGTCAAACCTAATACAAAATTCAATTTATTTCAATAAATATCTCTTATTACATTATCAATTAATGTGTTTGAAAGTCCAAAGTGAAAATTGTGAAATTCCTATCATTAATATTTATCCAATTCATGAAAAATATGAAAAAGAAAATAACAATTCTCTTCCATGTGTTTTTTGTATTTCCCATGGATCATCATTTTTAATTGATGGTGAATTCGAAATTGAATTAAATCAAGATAAACTTAATGGATCGGTTAAAAATAGTTCAAATGCGTTATTTTGGGCTGGAGAAATTGTTTATGGAATGCTTCGTAATTTAGGTCATCGATCTAATGACATTTGTCACACAAATCGATCGCAGATTAATGTTTTTAAACAATGTTTTCTACATAATGGAAATTATATTTCTATTAAAACCAAATAAACTTTCAGCGGTTTGAAATTCTAGATGAAATATTTTGTTTTTTTATTATCAGAAAAAATCGTTATTTTTTAGTTGTCATGATTGATAAAAGGATATTTTAATAAACACATTGATATTTACTTTAACATCTTGTTGAAGAAATGTAAAAGCATTTGAGACAAACAAAAAGAAAGAGCTTCATAGCATAAGTAATTTTTTCTTATTTTATCGTTTGAACTGTTCGATTGACACTCAGTTACTTCAATCAGTAATAAAAACATGTTGCTAAAAGGCAAATACGTCTGTATTTGAATTGTGTTACTAAGATAACAAAAAAAACATATTGTAGCTTAATTTCTTTTTGATATAGCAACAAAATAAATATAAAATTCCCAGGTGACATTTTGTAAATGAATTGAAAGTTGAAAAATTCTTTTCTAAATCCCATTATGTTAACAACATCTTATAACATGAAGAACTACTGTTTCCAGATGAGCAAAAAAAAAACATTCAAACTTCATTATGAAATATAATTTAGCAAGTATAAGAAATAGATTATCTGTATTGTAGGTCGGAAAGATGTCATCATTCATCTTCTCATCCGACTTTTTTCAATTATGAAAAATCATAAATAAGTTAAAATGTGTCTGTTCGGCATATTTAAATTTTACTGTAGACAATAAGTTGTAGTGAGTCATCTTCCACTGTATGCTTTTCGACGTTCTTCGAAGAAAAAAAACATAATAGTAACAATCAAATACTGCTACGTTAACCTTGAATAATAATTAAAAACTTTTTAACAAAAAAAAAAAAACAAATCATTTTTACTGTGACATGATCGATAGTTTCACAAGTAACAAATTGTTGTGAACCTATTATTCAAAACAGAAATCATGAAAAATAGGTGTCAGATTTTTGTCATAACAAAAGATTATCTTTTAGAATGAAGATCAAGACGAAACTTGAAATTATTAGAACAGACACTTCAGCTAAGACAATAATTATTGTGAAACATGAAAAATTTATTTTTTCAAACATTGTTTTATGTATATAATGGCAATTATTTAATTAGAAAAGTTCTATAATGTATGGCTTACTTGAATATTGTAGAGTTTGCTTAAAATAGCAAACTTGATATACAAAAAAAAAAATGAACTAGACAAAAATTTATTGATATTTGTCGCTTTTTTGGAGTTTGATAAATGTGAGAATATCGTTTACATTTGTAATTATTAAGAATATTATCGACAGTAAACAATCGTTTCATGCTACGAGAAACAGCGAAGAATCTAATAAAATGCTGACACGTATTTTAAAATTCTTCAGAACATAGAAAAATTAACCTGGGTTTTTCTTTATGGAAGGTAAATAGAATAAAAACAAAGAGCGTTTACTTGCTAACCTGAAAGTAAAATTTAACATATACATATTTACACCATACACGCAGGCGAAAAGTAATATACAATACACATAGCGTTGTCAATTAAA